GGCTCCGCGCGATAAACCATTTACCCGTTGCGTAATCACAATGCGCAACTGATTTGAGATCGACCGCAGTCCACGTGCCAGCGATCGGCCGGCCGTTAAACGTTCCGAAACACGGGGACGATCGGAGCTTTTTGTGCGCGTGAGGCGGAGGAGTTGGCAGAAGTAAAAGCGCCGAAAAGAGAGCGCCTTCGAAGTATTTCAAGAATCGGAACTAGGGTGAATGGTGTGATAAATGTTCACAGTTCATCCATGAAATAACTCATGGTCGAATATGTATTTTGATACACACATTATCATATACTATAGGTAATGACATTTTTAACCCTGGAAAGTGGGGAAACAAAAACAAAAAAACAAGACAACGTGAACCTAAAAAAAAAAAAAAAAAATATATATATATATATATATATATATATATATATATATGGAGGTTGGTGGTGGTCTTGTTTTTCTCTTTCCCCACTCTCCAGGCTTAAAAATGACAGTTACTGACCAGCTCGCACGCACCCTTGTATAAACTACTGGTTTTGTTGGCTTATTGTAAAATACAAGCACGGATACAAACTGATTAGAAAGTCAGGCCATAAACCAGCTGGTGAAAATAAGACACAACCCACAGGCGGCCGTTAAGCAAAGGACACCATGCAGCTCGAGACTTCTTGCCGGTGTGCCTTCCCTACCTCACCTGCAGTCCTCCGGTTGTGTTATAATTATGTGCCTCCCGCACTTATTTTTATTTCTTTATACATTGGGCTAACATACAAGTAATACTGTTTGCCTTCGACTTCTGAGAGTATTACCCCATGCGACTGAATATTCGTACATGAAGTAAGCCTGTGACTTAACTTCTTTTCGAAAACACACAAGCGTTGGATATTTGTTTCTTCGTCCATCCTTATATATTTATTTTTTTCCAGTGCAGGAGAGAAATGAAAGTAAAAAAGGCGACGTTGCACGACCAATCAACTATAGATACAACGCTAACATTGTGAAAGCACACAATTTTACGTAAGTATTTAAAAAAAAAAATGCAACAGTCCTGTGTTAATCACAATACAGTCACATCGAGAGCTAAGACATGTCAAGGCGAAGTCGTTGGGCATAAGCGTCGCGTTCACGCACCGTGGGGCAGTCGAGAGCGTGAACCAAAGCTTTCGCAAAAAAATAGACATATGTTGTTTTCTCAGAACCATTTTCTTTTGTTCCATTTGTTCCATAACAAAATGCCATGTTAGCACGATCAATGCTAAGATCCCCTGCAGAAAAACGCGTTTTGACGCGCTAAAAAAATGAAAAAAAAATAAATAAAACGTGTTTGGAACAAAATAAACATCAGTTTCGTTCCGTACGTTTTTGTTTTGTTCCATTTCTTTTTTTTTTTTTTCACAGCCTTTTTGTTTTGTTTTTTATGCTCCGCATCGCGGTTAAATCCGGCTCCCGGCACGAGCTCTTGACATTGACGGTGCTGCGACGGCGTTTTGCTCTTGGCTATTTTCTTTCTTTTCTTTTTTCGTTTTCAGAAAGCGCGTGTAGCGGCCGTTGAGTACTACACAGTACGTGAAATGTAGAGCGGAATGTTAAATCTGGTGCGTGGCCATGTGGTAACGCTTCCGGTTCGCACGCAGCAGACCCAGGTTCGACTGCTGCGTGCGGCGGGCGATCTTTTTCATGGATTTGGCAACATCGACGAATGACGCCCTACTTCGCCAAATACGACTAAAGCTACAACATCGACTACCGCAAGATCAAGTGCGGACGTCTCCAATCGTGGGAAGAGCTCATATTACTTATCGCTCTGAAACGCAAAGAGGATTTTGCCAGGCAGAAATATCTTTGTGCCCTACCGCCCTGCCGGATTTGAAATCCAGAAACCAAGAAACTTCGTTGCAATGAAATAAAATGATAATATATAACACCAACAACACTTTCTTTTTTTTTTTAATAGAGGAAGGAATTCAATACTGAAAGATGCCATCTCACCAGCATTCCATTTTCAGAAGGACACTGCGCTGCTTAGACCACCCGCCGCCGAACATATTATACTAATACTACTACTAATAATATTAATACATTTATTTTCGAGGACTATACTGATAACAAGCCAGTCAGGTTCGTCAAAGCCGACATGGGCTTGTGTGACTGAACCCTTTTAGGTAGAACCGGTAACATAGTCGGTCAAGAAAAAAAAGAAGGAAAACGTTAAGACATTAGAAGACCACAGTAAATGGTCACTCCAGTAGTACTGATCAATATAAATGATTACAAAAAATAGTTTACGTCAGACACACAGAGACAGGAGCAAAAAGTTAAAATTGATATGTCCGTCTGGTCACGGGACATTAAAAGAAAATCGGCACAAAACGTTGAGGCACATAACTTCGAGATGAGGAGTCTAGTAGAGTGACAAAACAGGGTACCCTTACACGGTACGTCTGTTCACAGCACATTCAAAGATCTACACAAAAATATGACACACAGAACCTCCAGTTGATGAGTCTAGCGGAGTCGCACAAGCATACACCACAAAAATGTGAGAAAAAAAGGACAGTTAAACTTTTTATTTTATTATATGCATATGACGAAGGCGCTTTTTTAGTTTTTTCTTTGACGTAAGGTGCAAGAGGTCTGCTGGTAATAGGTTAAAAATGTGTGGAACGTGGAATGAACGCATATTTTTGCCATACGGTGTGTAGCGTTTCGGGACGAGATATTTGAAAACGTTCCGTAGTTCCGGTGAGACGGGTCGAGGAGATTTAAAGTCGTCAGACGAGTAGTGATTAATCACAACTGTTTCTAAAAACAGATCTAAAGTTCGGCATTGAGAATGTCTCATAAAGTTTTAAATGAGAACAATTGAGGTTATACAACATGTTTTTCAAAATCCCCTTTAAGATAATGTCTATTTTCGTGTGCCATCAATTCGAGAATGAACCGAAAACAGTTATACCATAGCCCAGGTGACTATAGGCTAATGAATAAGCAACGCGTTTGCGTAAGCCGAGGGGTATGAAAGTTTTGATGTTATAAAGCAAACAAGAGACGCTTCTCAACTTTGAACGTATTTTTGTTAGATAAGAATTCCACGAAAGGTCGGCGTCGAAGTGTATACCAGGGTATTTTACAGCGTCGGAATACGGCACTTCAGCACAGTGGCACGAGGTACAGTTTGACGAGCGTAGCAAAAGAAGAATATTTAAGGAAACTTCTTTCAAGGGATTGCAAAAGCAGACGAGTTTCGTTTTCGACACATTTATTGAAATCAAGTTAGTCCATGACTTCGTTTGAGGATTGCTGGAGCATCTGAAGCGCCGATGGGTAGAAGCGTCATAATAAAAGAGCGTCATCTGCGTATTGGTAAATAATGCAGTTTGAAACCACGTTATGTAAGTCGTTGACATAAATGTAAATAGGGGTGGAGAAAGCATGGACCCTTGCGGAACGCCAGCTTTTAAACTAACTTTGGAGCTTTGCTCAATGTTGACCGAAACCAACTGTATGCGCCCAACCAGAAAATAATGTGTTTTTGATTTGTAGTTCTTTTCTGTACCGTATCTCTTCAGCAATATGTATGCATTCTACCTCTAAAGCTGTTTTTGTCGCGCTCTTATGCTCGAGTCTTACTAGAGCGACAAAGAAAAAGAACCAACACGAACAAGCCTCCAACACATGCAGCATGCTCGCGATGGTATCCTTGGCAGGCATTTAGTCGTTCGGTGCTCGTGAAGTAAGCACGAGTGATTGTAGACCTGTTAAAAAATACTTTCGCGTGCATGATTCTCATGTTTGAGCATAGTCTCCTTTATTCTACAAAGCCTGTCGAATCGGGAAAGACTCTTGTTTGAGGCTTGTCGCTGTCGTTTGACTACGTCTGTCGCTCTAGTGGGACTCGGGCATTGTAGAGCGAGCCTTTTCAATGCTTCCATCATGGTTATTTGTTTATTATATTTCAGATGTGAGGAAACGCTTGAGTGTCTGGTGTGTTTCTTTCCTTTTTCTTTGTTCTTTTTACTCTGTCAAGTTCAACATGCCGATTAAATTGATTTAGCCAAACGTTAAATATGTTTTCATTTATTTCTAAGATGTACAGTGAACGGCTTTTCCATGTCCCCTTTAATTGTGCTTATCAGAAACTCACAAACAAGCATGATGATTGGGCAGGTTTTGGAATGAATTCAAAACAAAGTAAGAAACACAGCTACACACACACACAAAAAAGCAAACGATTGCTATTAATGTGATCCAAGAAGTCTAACATTGAATATTTCGAAAAAAGTTTTCGCGCATACAATTTTTTTTTTGTTTTCGTTCCTGTTTTAACGGTTAACCAAATATCCTACTTCATTTCTCGAAACGCAGGGAAACAAGTTTCTCGGTGCTCCTGCTCTCTATAAACTAGAACCGTTCGATGTGAAGCATTCATAAAGCTATGTTAAATTGAATTCTTCCTTTTACTTTTGCCAGTCATCTAATACTGTAAAGTAACAAATATGAATACCCTACACTGTCGTGCTTCAACACTATGTCGGGTACCAAAAAAAGAAAGGCATTTATTTTGAGAAAACAAGCAAATATGTCGTTGTGCCTACTTCTTGTGTAAGCTCAGAGACGGTTTGAATATTCAATGACCTTCCGCCACAGGACAGTGTGACGTCATTTGCAACGAGAATAAATATCAGTGTAGAGGAGCCTGATGCACATTTCCAGATTTAAAATAAAAAAGTTACACCTTGAAACTAGATTGCATGCTAATATCGGCGCAATGTCCTCAGTAATCATCAATTCAATTTGAGTGCCAATGCAGGTAACCAAGGTAAAGAATTTCTTCAAGAAAAGGTAAGCGAAAATAATTAAAACTCTTCGCCTAGTAAAGATAATTTTCTTCTTCAGCCATTGTATCCTCAATCGTGATGCCGCAGATGTCTCCGTTGATGTTGTTCTTGTCTCGTCTTGCGACATGATTTTAGTATAAAATGAGCCCTAACCAGCTTTATTTCACAGTTGCGGTTTCGCATCGGTACAGCTCCACAATATTCTGCAATGATTGCGGTAAGTACTTTTGCAATGTGTCAAATGTAGATGAACTTCTCCTCTAAGGAAGCCTTCCGACAAAACGTTCTGACAATTAATATAATAACTTTTACGATCTGCTTTCTGGTCAAACGAAGCATTTCTTCATTAGATTAAGTTTTTATTGCGGCACTCGAAACACATTAGTGGTCCTCATTTATAGCGACACTGCTCAAGGAGATGAAAATACTTCGCGAAATAATCTAACGGCTAAGTAGAGAAACAAAATGAATACAGATGAATCCAAAACAAAGAGATATGCACTTCAGCAATGTTCTAAAACCAAGTTCTGAAAAATTAAGTTAAAACAGGTAATTTAATGTACTCGCGTGGCTCCCCCAATGCAAGTACGTGTAAAAAAACATTAACTTCAGAAATATAAACGGTTAGAAAGAAAACAATGTAACTGTCACAGTAGCAGAAAAATATTATATGACTTAAACAATATTCAGACAAAGAGTCGCCTCATTAGATGGCGTAATAATTTGCTTTCTTGCAGATAAAGGTCACGACAAAGAAAGCAGGCTGGAGCAGAGCCTTCTTGAAAAAACTATGTTCCCGAGTGTATGAGGGATTCTGTGTCTCAGTTGGAAAAAAATAAATCAGTTAATATTATGTTCTGCTGTAAGACACCTGCCATGACATATACGTGTATGCGGCCATAACTATCTTGATTGTCGCTTGAAATGGAAGCAGCCTAAAAAACAAGAACTCAAAAGGAGTTCCTGACGAAATATATTATTTTGCCGTTATGTTAGCATTCCTTCCCAATGCACTCGTATTAATTTGTTCATTGATTTCAGTCGCATTATCTATCTAAATGAAAATAGAGCTAGCCCTTATTAGGACCTGCAACTTACTGCCCGCCAATATCAACAAGTAAACTTAATTTATCATGAATCTTCATAATTCACGACCAATGTTCCCTGGAACTAAGTAATTGCGTGACAAGAGACAAAATAAAATTAAACTACAATAATCCGGCGCAGCATACATATGATGGTTAAGATTTATTTGCCTAATTAACAATTCAGATCTTCCTTGAAAACCAGTTAAGAAATAAGCAAGTCACAGTTTCTCTTGCGTACATTGAGAGCCTGCTCGCATATTTATGAACTCCTGCTGCAGATCCGTGCCTGTCTTGCCCTGGCTCTGGCCACCAGCGCTTTTGCCGGCGGCCTCCTGCACGGCGACCTCAGTTACGGTGCCGCCTTTGACGGCGTTGGATCTGTCGGCTACGGCGCCGGCCTGACCGGCGTAGGACACGCCGGTTACGCTGTCGCCGCCCCAGCTGTCGCCACCTACCAGGCCGCTCCTGCTGTCACCAGGGTGACTAGCTACCAAGCTTCCCCTAATGTCGCCACTGTGCAGACCGCCCCAGTTGTGGCTACCTATCAGGCTGCTCCTGCGGTCGCCAGGGTGACTAGCTATCAGGCTGCCCCAGCTGTCGCCACCTACCAGGCTGCTCCTGCTGTCACCAGAGTGACTAGGTATCAGGCTGCCCCTGCTGTCGCCTCCTACCAGGCCGCTCCTGCTGTCACCAGGGTGACAAGCTACCAGGCTGCCCCAGCTGTCGCTACCTACCAGGCTGCTCCAGCGGTCACTAAGGTGACTAGCTACCAGGCTGCCCCAGCTTTCGCCACTGTGCAGGCCGCCCCAGCCGTCGCCACCTACCAGGCAGCCCCAGCTGTCACTAAGGTGACTAGCTACCAGGCTGCCCCAGCTTTCGCCACTGTGCAGGCCGCCCCAGCGGTCGCCACCTACCAGGCAGCCCCAGCTGTCACCAGGGTGACTAGCTACCAGGCTGCCCCAGCTGTCGCCACTGTGCAGGCCGCCCCAGCTGTAGCCACCTACCAGGCCGCTCCAGCTGTCACCAGGGTAACTAGCTACCAGTCTGCACCAACTGTCGCTAGAGTGACCAGCTACCAGGCCGCCCCAGCCGTCACCCGAGTCTACCAGTCTCAGCCTCTCGTCGCCGCCGCCCCAGCTGTCGCTACATATGCTGCTGCTCCTGCTGTAACCAGGGTAGCCACCGCCTACCAGTCTGCTCCATCTGTCACAAGAGTGTACCAGTCCGCCCCTGTCGTTGCCGCCGCCCCAGCTGTGACCAGGATTTCCACTACCTACCAGGCCGCTCCAGCCGTCGCCAACTATGCTGCTGCTCCTGCCGTGGCCACCGTTGCTCATGCCCCAGCTCTGGCCTCTTTCCACTCTAGTCCTGTTGTATCAACTGTCCAAGCCGCTCCAGCTCTTGCCAACGTAGCTCACGTCGTTCCCGTCTACGGCTACGGCGTTGGCTCCCTCGGCTACGGCGCTGGTCATTACGGCTTCGGACACGGTCTTGGAAGCTACGGTCTCAACTACGGTTACGGCCTTGGTGACTTCAACGACTACTCCCTCCTCCTCCGCAAGAAGAAGTGTAAGTGCAAAATGGTGTATACATTTTTTTTTGAATTCTCGATGAAACTTAGAAGTGTTTTAATATTTTCTGTAATATATCTCTAACTCGCATTTCGAAGTGATTCCGTTCAAGATATGTCCCTACTGGCTAAAATAGATTGTGTTCTTACAAATTTGGCTTAATTTAGTCAATTTGAAAGCATGCAGAACCTTCTTCTGAACACGAGACTCATTGTGTTGTTTATTTATTTCAGAATGCGGGAGCTTTGAAACAGCAAAAGGAGAACAACGTCCCAAGATGTCGAGCATTGTTCTTGAATAAACGAAACATTCATAGAAATTCCGGCAATTTTATTCAGTGCTTTTTTTAACTGTCACAAACATGTTTTTACCCAGAACCGCGAATCGCATCCTTAACCTCTCCTGAAGCTTCCTGCTATCTTTAAAAGTGACCAATTAGGTACGTGGGTGGCTTCCTATGTGTCTAATAGAATGAAACATTTATATCTTAATAACAATACTTTCTCACTACTTTCAGTAACATTGGGGGTACCAGAGGGTTCAGCGCTGGGGCCTTCTTTATTCCTAAGTGATATCAATGATATCGTTAAGGACATCCATGTTCCGGTTAAATTATTCACTGATGCTGTGGTATTTACTTTCAAATAAAATAACTCTAAGATCAGGTAATACATATTGAGGCATTCACAAAAATTAAGGAATGGTCAAACAAATGGCCAATGAAAATTAACTACGATAAAACCGTTGCAATATCAATATAACCTCGAAAAAACAATCCTTTGAAATATAGCTATTTAATAAATGCAAATCCCATCAAATTTGTTGACCACTACAAGCGCCTGGGAGTGAAATAACTAGTAAACTACTTTAGAACGAGCATATGGATGACATAGCAAATAAGGACAGGAGAAAATTGTGCACATTTAGAGGAACCTTAAAATTCGCGTAGAGCGAACCAAAAAAGACTACCTACACGTACGCCCTATACGGGAATACGCTCACGTAGATTGCTACCCACAGACAGCAGCTGGGAATAATAAACTTGAACGCGTGAAAAAACAGGCTGGGAGATTAATATCTAATAACCTCATATATATTGTGACTGCGTCAAGTTTGCAGGAACAAGCAAACAATTACCCATTCGAGGTTAGAGCGAAATTTAACAGATTAAGAAACGTTTATTCTTTTATTAATGACATCTTTAATGTCAATAGGGATATATACATTAAGTTTTTAACAAGAGGTTCGGCTAGACTAAATCATACTAGGACTATTAGAAATATAGAAATAAGCACGCGATGCCTTCAAGTATTATTTTTTTCTCGTGCAATTAAAGAAAGGAATTCTTTGTATAACGAAATGATAACCTTTCCGTCACTTGGTATTCTTGTTTAGGCAGTCGCTTCCGCCACGAGAAAGTGCTCGTAAGAACATCGGACCAAGTCAATATGCAACCACCCCTGCTATCGCTCACAGATGTGAGTCCCAGTATTTTTTATACAAATAAATAAATAAAAACCAAAGTATTTGGATCATAACCGACTTAATGCCATCTGAAACCGAATGCCAAGAGTGGCGCCAAAAAGAGTTTCGAAATGCATAATTTGGGATATACGAAAATACCCTGATAGGTTCCACATCATCTGAGGACACAATAAGTCATCTCAAGCGGGTTCAGATCCCCCGAGGGAAGCCCATATGGGCTGCCCAAGTAGGCTCATGGTAGGTTCCCTCAGCGAAAAACAGCATATTGAAATTTATAATGTTAGCGCACTATTAGCAAGTGAGAGGTATCGAAAGGTTCGGTGTCAGTCTCGCCCCAGCGCTCGATCTTGCTGTTCCGCCGACATCTACTTTGTTCCGCCGACATCAACTACATCTCTACTTTGTTTCGGGCACAAGTTCGCCCCATTAAACGTGCAGTTTCTTCGGTAATACGCCTCCTCATTATTTGTCCTTCGTGACAATATCCTGCTCCTTATAGTTGGACTGCATAAAATAGCCCGATACTTTTCTTTTTTCGTTTGGTGTTTTTGCATGATAATAAACCCTTCTGGCAACCTAGATATGCACAGCTGTGTAATTGTCATTGTCACTGAGGTCTATACAAATTACGCAATGCAGAAGTATCTTCAAAACTAATTGAATTACATTTGCAAGTATTTGTACTCTACTCAAGATACTTTACAGTGAAAGTAACTTGAGTAGTATTTTAAATACTTTATGACGCAGGTATTTAGTAACTTGAGTAGTATTTTAAATACTTTATGACGCAGGTATTTAGTAACTTAACTTAAATACTTTTATCGAGTAATTTGTCCAACACTGCTTCCCAAGCATAGTTCGAAAGATTTTCGCTTCCACTCTCGATTACACTCCCGTGCTTGATTCATGCTGCACCTATACGGCAAGCCTCGTCTGCACGCCCTAGCTTAAAGTGCCTTCTTTGGACAAGGCTAATCCAGACTCGTGTTTTACTGTGTTTCGCTGTGGAGTTACCGTCATATCTGTGCTTTGTTGGCTGAGCTAGATTTATTTTGGTTAGCGCGCTTCATACAAAGCACGGATATCTCGGCGAGTCGCGGCCATAATTTATTGCAAGGCCCTACAACACAGCCAAATGCCTCTATCTTAACTGTGAGGGGAGCGAGTGTAAGGCCAGTTCCGCCAGCTGGTAGCGATCACAGGATGGAAGACATATTTTTTTGGGACGCACGACAACAAAATTCCCTGCAAAGGCTCCCAGTAACAACTGTCGGCAGAAAATGCTATTTTCGGTGTCTGGAGTGTTGAGTTTGACCATAGTGTAACGGGGAAAACAAACAATAAAATGGGCCTGCTTTGCATATTTTTTGTAGCAATAAAAGCGCCGCCCCGGTGGCCGAGTATGATATAGGTAAACATCAACAGCTTCTAAAACTTTATTATTTTATAATCTTTCAATTTTCTAGCAACTAAATCCCTACCGTTTGAATGGCATTACTTGACTGTCTAATAAGCAACCGTTTATTTAGTGAGGTGGAAGACATTCACTGTTTCTGCAGATGTCTATTCGTTTTCAATCAAAAGTGTAATAGATACTGTGAAAGCTGTTTTCGTTAACAGTTTCTGGGAGCCGCAATGTCCACAGCTCGTGCACAAGGCGCGTGCTTTGGGAAGAGGCGAACACATACTTGAAGAACCGTGGAGGTCGCATGCTGGGTTGTTGAACCGTAAAGTCTCAGACACACCTCTCGTGCATTATAAAAAAGGACACAGTGTTTGCTGCATACAAAATTACATACGGACGCGCTTTAGGCACGTCCTGTTGACTTCGTTCATACTTCGAACATGGGAATGGTTGCATGGCCAATGTGACAGTGCCGTCACACAAGGAAAGCCTCGGACAGTGTCTGCAGACTCTCTTTTGTGTGGTGTATTTGCAATAGAACAGCGGAGTAAACGTTGTAGAAAAAGCCCCGAGGTACACCTAAGCGCTTCTTATGACTTGTGAATGCGAAAGCATGAATGGCGTTCTTCGCGCCGCGGCCGCTTCTGATTCTCTCGGCGCCGCGGCCGTTTCTGCTCCGGCGCGGGCACGCAGCGCCATGGGGTGGCGTTAATTTAAACTGACGATCATCGGCTTCATATCGTTGCCGTTTTGCGTGGCGTTTGGCGCGGTTTCAAAGCTGGGATGCCTCAGATGGCGGATTCGGGAATTTATCTGCCGTTTGGCGCGGCTGATGACGTCGGCTAGCTCCATGGGACACTTAATGCTTTCACATTAATAAGCTCTGAAATGTGCTGGCGGAAGCGCACCTTTATCTAGGTTGCCTTCATATCACTGCCAGGCACTCATGCACCTTAAATAGCAAGAGGATCTTTGCCCTCACTTTTGCTCGCCTTGCAAGGAATGCTTGCTTGAATGAGATTCTGAACGAGCTTACCCACCCGCGCTGGAGAATTTTATAGATTTACAGTATTTAAACGTATGTTTGTTGCGTTAACTGAAGGACAGCACACAGTCCCACCAAGTGCATGCGATCGCAGGTGTTTACTTTGCATGTTGTTCCTTTTCTCCTGTATCTAGAGATGTAGTTAGCCTCCAGCTGCAAAGTATGAGAGCGATTGCATTACTGTTAAATGCTTCGCTACATTCTTCTGGAAAAATCGGAGCAAAAGCTGTGAGCGCTGCCCCAATAGTTGCTAAGTTCTTGAATTTGATCGGCGAAGTAGCTTTGTCAGGTATGGTGGTGTGACAACAACAATAAGTTACATCCATCACTCCGCAGGAGTGTTTCTGGCCGCTTTCTATCGGGAATCTGCCATGCTCAAAAACAGATATTGCAGAAAATCTCGGCTGCGGAGAGTTTTTCGTAGTAAGTTCAGCCCTACTTTTTTTTTTAAATTTATATAGCACTTTATGCTGATCTACGATAAATATCGCTTAACAAGAACCTTTTTGTGCTAGAAGTTTCTTTTCATATCGACGCGACGCGAGTGTCGAGCTCACAAAAGATTGGCTGCCGCTGCTCCGCTAAAAAGCGGAAAAGCGCCTCTGGTTATTATTATAATGCAATTAAATGCAAAGGTGCAAGCTAGCTGGACAAGAATGACGAAAATAATCCCTGGAGAAGGGGAACAAGAGGGACAATGGACAAACACATATCTCCAAACACAGCTAGGTGACTGGTGCGCGACCGAAAAAATCCGCCTGGTCCGGGTATCGAACCCGGGACCTCTCCATTACAAGTGGAGCGCTCTACCAACTGAGCTAACCAGGGGTTAGACGTCAGTAGAGCAAACGGGTTTTATCAGCCACCACCAGTCTAACACCAACAAGGGTGAAGCTTGCAATTTAAGGTTATTATTATAATGCAATTAAATGCAAAGGTGGAAGCGAGCTGGACAAGAATGACGAAAATAAGCGAAGGTAGTAAGTTCCACCCAGGCACGGCCTGGAAAACGTAAATACGGGAGAGGGATAGCGTAGCTCCTTCCGCTCTCCGGGGGCTGGCTCTTGACGTCTCTCAAATGAGTGACAGACACCAATCTTGCCATGTCGTAATGGTGTCAAAGAAGGCGGTTTCGCGCTGCGCGCTGTCGCTTGGTTACGTTCCTGGTACTCATACGTAACTTCTGTTTATAGTTTTTTAAAAATCGGACGCGGCTATCCAGATTAACACACCCCTAAAAGTGTATGGGTGCTGCGTCTTAGAACATTACCCACGCGATGTAATGACAGACGTATAGGAGTGCATTCTCTGAGAATTTTTTAAAATAACTATTTCAAGCTAAAACAAAAGCATGCGGTACTACGCAATTATAT